ACCAACCATCCAGTCTCACATCCACACTCACAGTTATGGAGTGCATTGTTGTTAAGTGCTATCGAGTTGGTTCCTATTCATTAACGACCCTGTATAGGGTATTCAAGGAGTGGCTAGTGAGTTTGAACTGTTGACCTTGTGGTTATAATCAACCTTGTGGTCCAGTGCTTATCCTACAGTGCCACACCAGACATTAGGGACGTTAATAGGTTACAATTCAGGATCATAAAATGCTCAGGGCAGTTGCTCCAGTCAGCTGCTGATAAATGCAGCAGTTGACTGAATAACTCCACCATAAGGCTCAGCCTGTTGGCACTGGACTCTAGCTCCATGGGTCAGTAAACCTAGTCCCCACTTAATGATTGGGGGCAATAAGCTTGCTCTGCAAGCAAGCTTCCTGCTCAAAATCCCTCGGCTTTACTTGCTCCATGGGCTGGGGAGCCCACTGCTCTGTCTCTTGCTCTGGTTCTTGGTTCTGCTGCAGGTGCTCCTATGCTGTCAGGGTTCTATCCCTGGGTCAAGACAGTTCAATATGCAGGGATCTTGGGGTCCAAAGGATATACTACCATCCTGGCTCTCCTTTGACAGTAGTGAGTCCCCCCGCCTCCTGCTTCTGAGATGGCTTATTTTAAACCCATGTTAGAGTTCCAACTTTTCACAATTACAGTGAACTTTGTTACCATACACAGCTGAATCATGTCATTCTGTCATGATTCTACCTTCTCTTCCTCAGAGCCATCAGAAACTGTCATTTTGTAAGAGTTACAAAGACTAACGCTAGGAAAGACATATTAAATAATTCACTGCACAAGTATGCAATTTAGAACATAAACCTAGTAAGCTCATAATGAACCTGTTAACATCAGGAAAGGTGTACACCATGGCGCTATTCTTTCCATAGTTAGTCAATCCATATGCTGAGCATATAATCCAAGAAGGTGGATTACATCAGGATTGAAGGAAGACTTTTAACAACCTGCAATATACAGATGATACAACCTTGGTTGCTGGAAATGAAGAAGACTTAAAATACTTATTGATATAAAGATAAGGATCTATGGTAGCGTACTGATTGAGTCGAGCTACTAACCTTAAGATCAGCAGTTCGAAGCTACAAGCTGTTCTGTGGGTGAGAAATGAGGCTTTCTGCTCCTGTAAAGATTTACAGCCTCAGAAACTCTGTACAGGGTCACCATTAGTCAGCAGCAGCTCCAGGCACATGACCACAACCACTACTGATGGACTTCTGGTGTGGCACTGTAGGATAAGCACTAGACTACAAACCACAAGATCAGCAGTTCAAACCCACCAGCTGCTCTTTGGAAAGCCTGTACAGGGTTGCTGAGTTGGAAATCAACTCGATGGCAGTTAACAACAATCACTGATGAAGATAAAAGCCTTCAGTATGGATTGCAACTCAAAGGGAAAAGAAAAAAAAAAGCTCCTGACAAATGGATCAATAAATAAGCTCCTAAGTGGAGAAAAGATTGAAGTTGTCAAAGGCTTCATTTTGCTTGGATCTACAGTAAGTCGTAGAAGCAGCAGTCAAGAAATCAAATGAACCCAGGGAGATCATGGCTGATATCAGATGGACCATGCCCGAAAGAAGAGAATTCCAGAAAGATGTTTACCTGTGTTTTATTGTCTACACAAAGTCATTTAACTGTGTGGATCATAACAAGTTACCGAAACATTGTAAAGAATGAGAATTCCAAAACACTTAATTATATTTATGTAGAACCTGTATACAGATCTTGAGACAATTGCTTGAACCAAAAAAGGGGATACTGAGTTGTCTAAAATCAGGATTGTATCCTTTCACCACACTTATTCAATATGTACACTGAGCAAGTAATCCAAGATACAGGAAAATATGAAGAAAAATGCAGCATATGGATTAGAGGAGGACTCATTAACAACGTAGGATATGTAGGTGATACAACCTTGATCACTGAAAGACAAGAGGATCTGAAGCATTTGCTGACAAAAATGAAAGAATACGGTTTTGATTATTTATTACACTGAATTTTATTAAATAAAATAAAAATACAACTGGATTCTTAAGCAACATTATGATAAATGGAGAAATATTAAAGATGCAAAGATTTTCATTTTATTTAGATTCACAATCAATGCCCATGGAAGCAGACATCAAGAAACCAAATGATGTATTTGACAAGCCTGCTGTTAAAGAGTTCTTTAAAGTATTAAAATTCAAAGATGTCACTTTAAGGACTAAGGTGTACCTATTTCCAACGATTTCAGACGCATGTAAAAACTAGACAATGAATAAGGAAGAACAAAGAAGAATTGATACCTCTGAATTGCAAAGTTGGCGGAAAATACTAACTATACCATCTGTCTTGTAAGACATATGGTCAGAATGTTATTTGGAGGTAAGGATGACAATACTTCATCTCACATGTGAGGCCTTCAAACAGTCTATGGAACAAAGGATAAAAAATGGAAGTGATACATGAACTTTGTGAAAGCCCCTTGTATTAGTTTCTACATTTTTTCATATAATGATTTCTGTATTTTTAAATTTAGTGGATTTTTTCCTATAAGGACTTCATGGATGCTTAAGAGATTATTTTTTTAATAAAATTATTGTTAATATTTTAAAACAAATATCTGTATTTCATTTCACCTTTACTTTCCCCTACCATTTCCTTTATTAAAAAAAAAAAAATGAAATGATGTATTGCATTAGGCAAATCTGCTGCATAAGACTTCTTTAAAGTGCTCAAGAGCAAATGACAAAGATATTAGTTTGATGACTAAGTTGCACCTGACCCAAGTCATGGTATTTTCAATTGCCTCATATGCATGTGACAATTGGACAATGAATAAGGAAGAATGTAGAAGAATCAACGTATTTGAATTATGACGTTGGAGAAGAATATTAAAAGTGCCATGGGCTGTCAGAAGAACAAATCTATGTTGGAAGAAATACAGTTAGAATGCGCCTCAGAAGCCAGGATGGCAAGACCTCGCCTTGCATACTTTGGACATGTTATCAGGAAGGACCATTCCCTGGGGAAGGACATCAAGCCTGGTAAAGTAGAGGGCTGGTGAAAAAAAGGAAGACCTCAAATGAGATGGATTAACACAGGGGTAATGGCTCAAAAGTAACAATTGTGAGGCTGGTGTAGGACCAGGTAGGGATTCACTCTGCTGTGCATAGATAGCATCACTGAGTTAAAACTGACTTGACGTTATCTAACAACAACAACAAAGCTGTTTCTAGAGAGGCAAGGTGTTCCATAAGAGAAGTGAAGTAAGTGAACTGGTCAAAACACTGTTGTTTTTGTTGTTGTTGTTACGTGCTGTTGAGTCTGTCCCGACCCATAGCAACCCTGTACAGGTTTTCCAAGGAGTGGCTGGTGAGATTGAAATGCTGGCCTTGCTGTTTAAACCAACATTGCAGTTCAGGGCATTAATCCACAGTGCCACACTAGGAGATGAGACTCACAGTGACCCTGAATACGGTTTCCAACGGGTGGCTGGTGGGTTTGAACCACCAACGTTGCAGTTAGCAGTCCAGTGCTTACCCTATGGTGCCACAACAGGACTTCAGTAAAACCTAGTCACTGAAAGGCTAGATTAAGTTCCCAGGAAAATTAGCAGAAAAAATGAAGGTTTACATTCTAAGTGGCTATCTGGCAACTACTACTTACTCTCTTTATGCAAGGTAGCAGACCTCTGCATCTGGAGAGTTCAATTCTTGCTCTACTATATTGTTGTTAAGTGCCGTCGAGTCAGTTCTGACCCATAGCAACCCTGTATAGGGTTTCCAAAGAGTAGCTGGTGAGCTTGAACTGCCGACCTTGCAGTTCAAACAGTTTTGCAGTCTGGCGCATTAACCCACAGCGCCACACCAGGACTCCTGCTCTACTATAACCCTTCTAGAATCACAGCTTACATCACCATTCTGGATAAAGCAATACTAACAAATGAAATACTTTCATTTAAGAGAATGCTCATAAGCATCCACTCCCCTAGATTTTGAACCAAGCAGGAAGAAAATATAGTCAGATTTAACAACATAGTTGTTCCAACCTTCTGGATATAATTTAATCTTCTTTATCCAGGTGATGGACTCCTGATGTGCTGCTGTAGTATTAGCACTAGACTTCGAATCACAAGGCACTGAACAACAATCCAGGTGATAAAAACAAAGTTTGGCTATGCAGCATAACTACAAATCTATTTCCCTGCATGAATATTCTACCTCTATCTTTACCCTACTGTTGTACCACTGAGTCGGTTATCACTCACAGTGACTCTGTATAAGGTTTCCAAGTAGCGACTGGTGGTTTTGAACGGCCAACCTTGTGGTTAGCAGTCCAGCACTTATCCTAGTTGGTTGGTGGTTGTGTGCCGTTGAGTCAGTTCTGATTCATAATGAACTTGTATTTCCAAGGCTGTAAGTAAATCTTTATGAGAGAAGCAAGTCTTGTCTTTCTCCCACAGAGCAGCTGGTGGACTCGAACTGCTGACCTTGCTGTTTGCAGCCCAATGTATAACCCATTATGCTACCAGGGATCCTTAGTGCTTATCCTATATGGCAATTATTACTTAATTCATACATAGGTTTTATTTTCTAGTGCTCCAGTCAATGTCATACAAAATTGAAGACAGAACTAGTCAGACTTTCTCAGGTAAAGTTTAAGTCTTAAAAAAAAAGTAAATGGAGTTAAAATAAATACTTCTAATAATATCACAATTAAAAATAATACTGAATATTACAGAGGATCTTTGAAAGTTAAATTGGGCTTACCTACCTCCTTAAATCATGACAACAGGCTTGTAAATAAAGTATTTTAATGTAAACCTTTCAAAAAAAGTGTATATCAGGTGTTGGAATAAATTGAACATATGACATGACTTTTACCTTTTCATTGGTCAGCAATGAAAGAATATTTCAAAGAATAAAACATGATTTTATTGATCATTGATCAGAAATGAAGGAATATCTGAAAGAATAAAACATGAATAAAACCAGAAATTACATAGACTGCTGCTTCTTTTCCAAATACTTCTCAATATCATCAAGCACTTGAACGGCAGCCTTTGGGATTCGAGTACCAGGACCAAATACATTGGAAACACCAACTTCAAACAGAAATTCATAATCCTGTTGAAAGAATTTGTTTAATTAACAGGAGAGACAATATTTCCAATTTAAAGGAAATAAAACAAAAGCAATGAACTTTGTCCTCTCTTCTTTGTCCTTAATGCTCAGAACTTTCTCAACTGATATATAACTATTTGGGGTTGAAAACATTATTTTTTACTGACATTGTAACTAATAACTAGGGGCACAACCTCGCTACTCAAAGCAGCAAAAAACACTCATGCCAGTTCTCAAATATGCCATGCTGTTGTTTGTGGCAGGGAGTTGTATGGTTCTTCATTGAAAATGCCTGAGCTCTAAATCCTAATTTTCTAATCCCTGAATTTTCAGTTGTTGTCAGCATAGCGACCTTATGCATAGCAGAACATAACACTGCCCGATTCGGGCCAACCTCACTGCTGTTGCCACGCTTGAGTCCATCGATGCTACTACTTGGCCAATTCATCTAGTTGGGGGAATTTTCAGTACTTGTCATTATTTGTGTTAAATTATCATAACACAGTTCTGAGTTTACAAGACTACTTATTTCCTCCTATTTTGTCTGCAGCTAGTGAATGTTGTTGTCGAGTTGGTTCCAACTCACAGAGATCCTTTATAGGGTTTCCTAGGAGCAGCGGGTGGTTTTGGACCAATGACCGTGTGGTTAGCAGTGCCACACCAGGAGTCGGAGCTAGTGAAAGGTGGTACTTTTAAATTTGACCCATGAAGGAATTAGATTGCCTCCAAATGTAGATTAGCTTTCCTCTTTTTTTGCTGCTGTTGTTTGTTAGTTTATCTTAAGCATGATCAAGGTTTGAGTGAAGAGATCCTCAGGGCACATTTACTGCTCCAGACTTTCCATTGCTTTAACAGCAGGATGTTTTAACTATAAGTATCAAGTTTAAGACATGATCCTCATGCTAATCATATATGCCAACGAAGCCTGGCTTGTAATAGTTGTCACAGTACCTTTTTCAATATCAAAAATGATACTTGGATGATAAATTAAGGTCTTGCTGATAGTGGTTATCCATTATTATTTTCTTGAAAACATCAACTCACTTATATAATAGGGCAACATTTTTCTCAACTTATATTTAAATTCAAATATTCTGTGCTACCTAATTATTTTGATTCTTGAATTTTAGTATCATTCTTGACAGCTGAGGTACTATAGCCTCAAAAACTACAATATAGATAAACATCCATAGATAAGCAACAGTCAAGAATACCCCTTTTACTTTTCCAAATAGTAAACTACAAGAAAATAACAGACAAGTGTGTAAACAAAAGCTGTGTTGTGTTGATTACATCAACTAAGTACTATGCTGTTAGAAAGAAGATAAATAGTATGTAGTTTGTTCTCTAATCTTGTGTTATGACTACTCTCACAACTTTATGCACATGTATTTGCTGATTACATGTGTAGTGGATAAATTCACTTTTCTGTATTATAAGTCGCAGCAAAGAAAAAAGGAATACAGATCCTGGAAACAAGGTCACATTTGACAAGTAGATTCCTGCTGGGCCTTCTATAGCATCTATGAATCATTTACAGAAGTAAAGCTTCATATATGATTCTTCTAGCTCAGTATTATTCAAGCTTAAGAAAAGAGGAAAATTTGACATAATTTACAACTAGATTGAAAATGGACACTATTTATATCTTAACTGATTATTTTAAGTACTTGGAAAGGAAATATGTGAAAATCAGCCCCCTACACAAATCCACCAGCTGCTCTACACAAGGTCGCCCAGTCAGAACTGATTCCACGGCACTTAACAACATTAATAAATTCACAGATATCACTGAATATTTACCATTTGTCCTTTTTCTAAGAGAACCTGTATTTTTGCTCAAGTATCCACCTTGTCCCCATTCAACTGATTCCATTTATGTTTGAACTTGATATTTTTAAAACGAAGAAAAATACATCCCAACTAAAGTAGCTACAATAATAAAGGTGTTTTATAGGATCATGTAACTGATTCAGTTCTTCAGTGGGGGGCTGTTTTGGGACAGCAGCACGGCAGGAATGAACCTCTATGACAGCAGCAATGAACGCTCCATTGGCTAACCAAACCACTCACTCCACTGCCTGGAGCAGGAGTCTCCTGTTAGGCTTTGATATAGACACAGTGTAGTTACCATTCTTTTCCATTTCAATTGTTTTTATCACTTTTATCCTGTTCCTTCTTCATCACTGTTTATTGAACACAAAGAAGGTAGATACCCTATTTATCGTAAGTCGCTGTTTTGTAAAGAGGTAGTTCCCTCCCAGAAGCTTTGTAAACTATTAAATTATACAAAATAAATGAGAATATAACTTGACTACAAAACAATGACCTTCCTCAATTTGGGACTTTATAGAATCCATTTAGTAAAATCACCAGGAACTAATTTAGTTCTAAATCTACAAGTTCAGTAAAAGTGAACAGTAAAATTAAACACTACATAGAATCTATGATTACTCAGGGATCTCATCATAGAACCAGAAAAAAAACTTAAGAGATAAAAAATACCTGCGGTGGTATCACCCCGCCACACATAACAAGAATGTCTGGCCGTCCAAGGGCGCTAAGTTCTTTGATGAGTTCAGGAACTAAGGTTTTATGACCAGCAGCTAGCGTGCTCACACCCACAGCATGCACATCTGCATCCACAGCCTGCTGCGCCACTTCACGGGGAGTCTACACAATACAAACAACAATTATACTACTGACCCAGTAAACACCAGTATACATTTTACACCAGCACTAACCAGTTGCCTTAAAGTCAACCCTGACTCATAGCGATCCCATTGTGTGCCAAAGTCGAACTATGGTCCACAGAGTTTTTGATGGCTGATTTTTCAAGAGTATTCTTGTCAGGTCCTTCTTCTAAGGTAACTAACTATGGATACATTCAAACTGTCAAACTTTTAGTTAGCAGCTGAGTGTTAACTGGGTGCACCAATGAGAGACTTCACTTCTAGTGCTAAAATTCATCAATTACATTAAAGTTGCATAAATAAATATCACCCCCAAAGAATCTTCAAAATAAAAAAGTAATATGAGTAATATATATTACTTCTCATTATAATTTCTTTTAAAATACTAGCATCCATTGTCTTCATTATCAACATTTATTGAGTGCCTGTATGGTACAAATGATCAAGTTACAGTAGCTGTGAAGAAGTTAAAGATTAATCCAAAACCCAGAAATCATCAGTTTTAAAATAAAGTGAGAAATCATTCAACTTTGAAATATAAAAAGCAATATAAAAGTATAAGAAACTCCCAAACACTAGCCCTCTTCATGAAAGCCTACTTCTTTTCTGGTGAAAGGCAATGAATATTCTTCAGTCCTCATTCTGATGACCTTCTCCTTGGTATGTTGCTGCTTTATTTTTAATCACACTATTCTATTTTCTTTCACTCCTTGCTGTCTCTTCCTGTCTCCCTAAAATGTTCAGAATCTCTTTCTCCTCTCACTGTATGTATCCTTTGTGGTAAATGACATGCATTTTGATACCTTTAAGTACCATTGATACATTTCTCAAAATAGCTAAATCAACAAATTTTTTTCCTAAGTCTAATTATCTACATATTTATACACACACACATATATATATTTATATTACTTGTTCGGTTCCTACCCATAGTTACCCTGTAAAAGGTTTCTGAGTTGTTCCTGGTGGGTTTGAAATGCCAACCTTGAGGTTAGCAGTCCATTGTTTAGCCTATAGCACCACACCTGGACTCTAGGTCTATTATTTTATGATTTAACAAAGTACTACTAATGAATAAAAAAAGAAGAAAAATCTTCGTATGAATTGAGTTTACTCTTTGGTTCAATTTCCCTCTCAAAACAATTTCAAATAACCCCATTTGGGCTACCTTTCCCATAAAATAGAAGTCAAACCTCAATAAGTAGTAAAATAAGATCTTTGAAAATATTTTTCACTATTTCAAAAACCTAATAGACTATGTAGGAGTTTTGGTAGCATAATCTTAAAGTCAGCAGTTCAAAAAAACCAGCAATTCTGTGGGAGAAAGATGAGGCTTTCTGCTCCTGTAAAGATTTACAGTCTCGGAAACCCTACGCAGGGTCGCTATGGGTCAGAATTGGCTCGACAGCACTAAACAACAACAACATACTATTTAATCTGAACTGACATTTACTTTTGCAAAGTATGAACAAGTATTTTACTTTTATTTTTGTCACAATTCACTGGACTTGTTAAGTGCTATTGAGTTGGTTCTGACTCATAGTGGGTTTGAACTGAGGATCTTGTAGTTAGCAGTCCAGAGCTGATCTACAGCATTACACCAGGAGTCCTCATTGGACTGTATATATTACAAAATAAATTTAGAACGTTCGTAAGTATGTTCTTCTTGAACAACTTTATAAACATTTACTATCTAGGTTTACATCTATTTTACTATGTTTTCATTGTATATTACATATAATTCTAGTGTGACTTATGGTATATGTTTTGAGCCTCCTCCCAACCTTTTTTAGTACCTGAAAAAGAGGACCTATGTCCACATCAAAACCAAGATCAGCAAATCCTGTTGCAATAACTTTTGCTCCTCTGTCATGGCCATCTTGTCCCATTTTTGCCACAAGAAGACGAGGTCTGCGCCCTTCACGTTCCATGAAGTTGTGAACCCTAAGTGACATTTTAAAGAGCAACACTTTCTCACTGATCAAGTCAAAAACTGCCATCGAGCTGATTCTGATTCATACTAATCCTGTATAGTGTTTCCAATGTTGTAAATTTTTATGGGAGCAGACAGCTTCATCCTTGTCCTGTGGAGTGGCTCATGTGGTTAGCAGTTCAGTGCTTATCTTACCAAAAATAGGATATAAAAACTGTAACATATTCCTATCAAACCTTTCTAGTTTATTTAAAGAAAAAAAAAAGAGATATGTTTACATGTATTTTGCTAACATCCTTATTTTACACCGAGTGTTCCCTTAAGGCTTGAATGTTTACTGAATATGTTTATAATTTTCCCTTTAAGGGAAAATTAGAAAGATAGCAAATCTTTAAACCCAAATCACTGAAGATATCACAGAGAAAAGGATACTTTTCTACCTTTTTGAGCCAGTGTCAAGAATACAGTATGAAAAAATATTTTAAAATGCCTTACAGTATCATCTACGATTCCCTAGCTGTTTTGAAAAATGTGGGCTACTCTAAGCTGACTACAATATGTCACTTTATAATGATGTATAAACAAAATGCTTGCTTACTCAGAAATCAACAAATTTACACTTCACAAGGAAAAGCACTATATTTGAGGTAAAAGAGCAAACAGCAAAAAGAACTGTTCCCTATTGACTATTTGAACTTTGACTTTTTGACTATTTGAATTTATATGCAAAACTTTTGCTACTCACCTAGCATATAACATGACAGAAATTTTTCAGTGAAATGTTTACTATAAAGGTTGAGAAAACCAATCACCCAGAAACCACTTTTACATTTGGAAACGTGTCACATTAACGTGTACTTGCAAGTTATGTCGAGGCAGGATAATTTACTGTCAGCTCAGCAAAGATGAATTCATACAAGAAATTGTTTATTTTCAAAAAGACAAATTAAAATTTTATAGTTATGTAAGCAACTGAAAAATACAAATTAGCTTAAAATAATAGAGCCTAGTCTAGCAAGCATATTACAATCTAAGTACCTGGTGGGTAGGATGCAATACCAGTATTAGATTAAACAAGCAGCTATTTCAAATGAGGAATTTCTAAAAGGAACTGTGGTCAAAGTTCTAAATTTGCTTTAATAAAACTACCAATAGGAAATTCAATTCAAGTATCTCCCAAGGGGTTTGTAAGGAAACAAAGTCCCTTGTAGATTTATGGGGATGATTGCGTTATTAGAAAAGATGAGATCCTTTTTAAGAAATCTCACATATTACCTCTTGATAGCAAATGTTATTTCTTTGCTTTCTCCAAATTCCTGGCGATATGCTCCACTCACCATCCGATCATTAGCTTTATGTTCACCAAATACCTGTTTCATGGCATCTGTGATTTCTCCAACTGTACATCTGAAATAGTAAATGGAGGTTCTGTCAAAATCACTATTTTGGTATAAAAATATTGATTTTTTTAATATTCAATAAAATTGGACATAGAATTTTCATGCAAATAATGGGGGGTTTTATAGGTTTTGCAAACTGTGCAACCCCCTGATGTGTTATGTGTGCATGTCTGTGCTATTTGCCATCTAGTGCATTATCCTGCAGCACCACAGGATTTCACTGTAGTTCAAGACATTTGAAGCTAATGTAAAAATGTTTCACTAATTGTTCAAATTGAAATAGAATGCCACAAATACAGTATTTTATTACCTGAGTAAAAATGTAGTTAGATAGTTATGACGAAAATGGAAAAGTAAGTGCAAAAGGCTAAGATGAGAACAGGAAGTAAGTGACTAGGGAAAACAAAAGCAGACTGTAAAGAGTAAGTGAGCACAGGGCTCTAACAGTGAGGAGAGAAGGGCTGGGTCAGGGCATGGGGAGGCTGGTGTTCTTCTGGACCCTTCACAATTCACATTAAACTAAAGCAATGTACTAACTTTTTCCTGTCAACTTCCAGATAAAAGCACCCAAAAGGACACTTTAATTGGGATAATTTAAAGGTAATAGGTGTGAGTCCAATAACATACTTGGGAGAGCATTATATTTCATTTTGAACAATTAGTGAAACATTTTTACATTAGCTTCAAATGTCTTGAACTACAGTGAAATCCTGTGGTCCTGCAGGATAATGCACTAGATGGCAAGGTTGGTTTAAACTGTAAGGTACGTGGTTCAAACCCAACAGCTGCTCCTCAAGAACCCTATACAGGGTCGCTATGAGTTGGAACGGATTTGATACCACTTAACAACAACAGTGAAATACACAAATATTAATATACTCTATTTTGAATATATAAATATTTAAGGAAAACAAGAATTGAATTATTTTTGTTTCTTTTGCGTTCACATTATATATAGGATTAAACTTTTAAAATATATTCTGAAAAGCTAAAGTGATCAACTTTTAGAACTAAGAAATCTCCAAACTTGCATTTTCTTACCTTGCACGGGCCGCATCCACTGCAAGAGCCAGAATATTTCCATCTCCACTGGCAGCACACTGAGTTAATGCAGCAAGACACCGGTCAGCCAAAGCTTGATCTCTGCTGGATTTGACCTGTGTCAAAGGTCAAAGAAGGAGACAATTTAGATGCATAGAGAACAAAATTGTTATCAGGAAAACAGATCTTGATATACATCACACAGAATTGTTCAATACGTCTAATCTCAACAATAAGAGGGGGATAGTCAAGGGTTGAAAGTCTTTCAATTCATTCACTCATTTAATAAACATTTATGATGAAGTTTAAGGGTAGATATTTAAGGCTACTGAATAACCTTGAAGGAACCCTGATGACACAGTGGTCAAAATGCTTGGCTGCTGATCGAAAGGTCAGTGGTTCAAACTCTCCAGCTACTCCATGGGTGAAATATGTGGCAATTTGCTTCCATACAGATTTACAGCCTTGGAAACCTATGGGGCAGTTCTGGTGGTGGTACGTGCCACAGAGTCAGTGTCGACGCATAGTGACCTGATATAAGGTTTCTGAAGTTGTGAATCGTCACAGGAGCAGAAAGTCTCAGCTTTCCCTAGTGGAGTAATTTGCAGATTTAAATTGCGGACCTTGTGGTTAGCAGCCCAGCTTATAATGGAGTACACTACCAGGCCTACTCTATGGGGCAGCTGTACTCTGCTCTACAGGGGTGCCATGAGTTGGAATCGACTTGACAGCAGTGGTTTGAATTTTTGTTTTGTTTTGTCTTGGCATAACCTTTAAAAATCAGAAGTAAGCAGTGATGACCCTCCCAGGTAATACATACATATTCTTTCAAACACAAACTCCAAACTCACTGCCATCAAATCAATTCTGACATAACAACAACTCTGTGTAAGATTTCCAAAGCTATAAATCTGTATGTGAGCAAACAGCCTCATCTTTCTCCCATGGAACGGCTGGTGGGTTTAAACTGCTGACCTTATGATTAATAATCCATGTAGCATGAGACTGAAAACAAGTGGATGTTCTAAAGGAAGTATTTCAAAGATGCACTAAAAATAAGTATTGAGTTTCTGTGGTTGTGTGCTGTTGAATCGGTTCCACTCATCGACTATCAAGAGGGGCTGGTAGTTTGAACTGCCGACGTGGTTAGCAGTTCTAGTAAGCAGGATGAAAAATAACATATGAATTTGAAGACTCTTTTAGTTATATTTTAATAGTCTCCCTTAGCTAACAAACAATGTATTGGTAGCAACATGAATGGATATTTGATGTTCTTTGTACTTAAAGATAATGCTGTGAGATAGAGAGAGAAAGACTTGGAGACTGAGAGAAAGACAACGTATAGTCAAAAACATTTCTCCTATATCCTAGCTTTGTTCTGCTAACTTGCCAAAAAAGTTATTTAAATCAAATTTATATTTGTACAAGTATGACCACCTATAAAACAGTCTAAAATGTGATACTGCTCCAGAAATTACTAATATCATGTAGTATATACAAGAAAAGTTGGGAAAGAAAATTTATATTAAATGTATGGAAAACTCCAGCTCTAAATTATCCAGAGAGTGCCTGTTTTTCTTTTACTTATCAACAGTGTACATTTTTTTGAGTTCTAAATTTCTAAGCTTAGAGGAAGCAATATAATATAGTATGAATAATTTTGAATTTCAAGCAAAATCTACTTGTGGGTTATGAAACAGATTTAGTGGATTGCCAAGATTTTAAAGGATTAAAATGAAACAGAAAACAGCCAAGCACCATACACAGTCTGGGTAAGCAGAGTCTTGTGAAACCTTTATTTCAGTTGTGTGTGTGTGCACGCGCAGCTGCATTCATATGTGCATGTATGTAAAATTCATTTCTTTTTGTGGGTCAGGGTCTAAGAGTTAGGAATGCACTAGTATGGAACTCAGAGCATGGGTACAGGAGTCAGATGTGAGTGCAAGTTCTGCTCGGACATTTGCTGGGTGAATGGCCTGAAAAACATTACTTAACATCTCTCTAGTTCAACTTTCTCAAATATCAGAAGAGACTGATAAAAACAATAATATAGTTTTTGGTTTTTATAAGGACTAAAAAAATGTATGCTTCAAGCAAATAGGAGTTCAGTAACTCTTAACTGTATAAAAGTAACAGTAATAACAAGAATGTACAATATCGGAGTTTCTGGTTTTGGCCGGCAGCAGAGACAGCCAGGTAGGAAAGGCTCTGTGGGGAAAGGATTGAAAACCCAGAGAAGCTCTACTCATGGAACACCAAAAGAGCTCTGGATCTAGCATAAGATACAGGGCGTCAGTTTCTCGCATGAGCAAGTGAAAAAATCATGATATAAAGGAAAATACTGTGAGTTAGGAAACGCTTGAGACTGGACTCCCTCTGTGGCCATCCCGCTCAAGCGGAGTTCTGAGGCTGAGGCTACAGCCTGACCAGTACAGGGAACCAGCGCTAAAAGCGGCGCAGTGACATTTGCAAAAGGAGGTACCAGGGATTCTACACACTTTTTCCTCCTCTTCTCTTTCAGGCCTTCTTTGCCCAGCCCAGACGCCTTCAAGCAGGTAGGTGTGAACACCACCCCACCCCCCAAAAAAAACAAAACTCCAACGCTGAGCCCATAATTTTACCAAGGCACAGAGATAAAGAGCTTGGCAGCTGTTTATGACATCAGCCTGTGGGGTCCAGACCTACAGTTAACTTGTGCAGGACCCTTTACTATGTAGTGAGAAAAAACCTGGTCTGGCCTGACAGACAAACCATATGAACAATCTATAAAACCCCAACATAAAAGGACACAACTATCTCAAGAATTAATCTGTGCACGTGCAGATACCTAACTGACCTTCAGAGACAAAAATAACAGACAATCTTTCTCACATTAACTTCTCAATATCTATCTGTGTACGTCTAAGGTGGTGACTATAAGAGAGGGGTCTGAGCGAGCGGAGATCCCCACCTACTGCTGGAGGACTCTATGGTGCACATAAACTGCCTGTATCGCAAGGCGACTGGACAGTCGGTCACAGTTTTATTTTTGTTTCAAAGTGGTGGTTTTTGTCTCTGCTTTTATATTGCTTCTGCTCTTGGCCCTTTTGATCACAATTTTTTCCTGGAGGTGGGAGCTTTTTCTCCCTACATTACCCAAGAAGAATCAGCAATCATGGCCATATAGCCAAGCTACAAGCATACTCCATAATATGCCACCATTGAGACAAGAGCCAATAACAGCGGCTAATCATTACATGTGAAAAGGGAAGCCTATCTCCTGATCATATCCACCAGGAGATATCCAGTAAGTTTAATAACACAACAACAAACATCCATTTAGGCATTTAAAAACCCACATAACTACTGGAAATGACAAACAAAAAATAAAAAAAAGATCTCAAAACATGTCCAAAACCAGAAATGAGTAACTGAGACAAATGAGCTGGAGACAGACAAGGACTCCCCAGAAGGGGCAGAGCAGGTTTTGAATTTGCCTGAGAAGGAATTCAGAAGAATGATATGGAAACAAATTCAAATGTTCCAAAAAGGAGTGGAGGAAAACAAGGAAGAAGTCATGAAAGTATTACAAGAGCAATAAAACAAGACTGATACAGCATTGGAAACAATTCAAAACCTGCAAAAAGAGGTCCAGATTATTAATAATAAAATATCAGAAATGGACAATACACTGAAAGTGAAAAGGAGTTGAATAGAAGAGATGGAAGCCAGAACCATCGAGCTGGAAGACAATCTCTCAATACTGCAAAGATAGAAGAGCAAGCACAAAAAAGGATAAAAAAAAAAAAATACTCCACAACTTACCATGAAAATTAACTTCCAAGCAGAACAAGCAAACATGAAAACTAAGAAGAAACCGACATGAAATAGAACAAAAAACATAAACTCAGCACAAGAAGGCATGCAGAACAAAGGAATGAACAGCACTACTAAAATTTTAAAATAATGGTAGAAATTAATTCATACCTATCGATAATTACATTATACATATAATGCAATCCCAATCCAGATTCCAGTGATATTCTTCAAAGGGATGGAAAAGACAATTACAAACTTTATATGGAAAGGAAGGAGACCCAGGATAAGCAAAGCACTGCTCAAGAAGAAGAACAAGGTTGGCAGCCTCTCACTCCCCGATTTCAAAATCTTCTACACAGCTACAGTAGTCAAAACAGCCTGGTACTGGTACAATGAAAGATACATTGATCAATGGAATAGAATTGAGATTCCAGAAATTAACCCATCCACATACAGCCAAACTGACTTTTAACAAAGTGCCTAGGCATATTGCATGGGGAGAAGATAGTCTCTTTAACAGATGGTGGAGGCAGAACTGGAAAGCGATATGCAAAAGATTGAAAGAATACCTTTACCTCATGCCTTACACAAAACGAACTCAGCATGGATTAAAGACCTGAATGTGAACCGCAAAATTAAGAAACTCATCAATGAAAAAATAGGGACAAATGTGAGGGCTCTAATACGGGGAATACACAGACTACCAAACATTTTGAAAAGTACACAAACAAAAGCAGACAAAATAGATGAGTGGGACACACTAAAAATTAAAAACTTATGTGCACCAAAAGACTTCACCAAAAGAGTAAAAAGGGAACCCACAGAATGGAAAAAATCTTTTGCAATGACACATCAGACAAGGGACTCACTTCTAAAAATATAGGAGACTACAACAACTACAAGAAAAGGACAAATAATCCAATTAAAAAATGGGCACAGGACATGAACAGACATTTCACCAAGGAAGAGATCTGGGAAGCCAACAAACACATGAAGAAATGTTCATAATCACTAGCCATTGTTGTTGCTGTTAAGTGCCATCAAGTTGGTTCCGACCCATAGCGACTCTGTACAGAGTTTCTGAGGCTATAAATCTTTACGGAAGTAGAAAGCCTCATCTTTCTCCCGTGGAGTCGCTGGTAGTTTTGAACTGCTGACCTTAAGGTTTGCAGCCTGATTCGTAACCACTATGCTATCAGCACTCCTTTACAGAGGTGCAAATCAAAACAACAATCATCTCACACTAGCAATAACAGTAAAGATAAAAAAATTATAGGGCAATAAATGCTGGTGAGGATGTGCAGAGATTGGGGCCCTC